CAGCACATGTTAATTATAAAGATTGTATTTGTGCTCTTCTCAAGGAACAATTATGATGATATAAGCACGTTACTGCAAAGAGATATTGTTTTCATAAATTTTCGTATTACTTTAAAGTTAAAACTGACGGGATAGCTCTACCTGTATAATATATACATAATATATACATATATTTAGATATTTTGTTCGCGTATATATAGTTTTTAAGTCAATACACATATATATTATATACTTGTAAATATAAAAAATGTGTAATGTATCGTAATATATACCTGAGTGCAATTTATTTCATGTAATTGTCCACGCCACATCATTATCTCATTCAAAGTTTTGACTATTTTCATCATAATTATTTTTATGCATATATTGGGTTTCTCTTCTATTGCGAAAATGTCAGATATATTCAGTACCGCCTTTACAGCTTCCTCTTCCCAACTACTTTTCCAATAATTACGCGTATTCTTCCGCTGTTGTCTCATCATGTATACTTCCACCATTCTCTTATCGCAAAGCGTCGAGAGAATCACTCTGATTGATGCGAGAATTACCCCTTCCATATGTAGCGATTCCACAGAAAAGTTCAACCAGTTGGCAGAAATAATTTCATCTTTATTTTCGTTTTCTCTCTCTGATAGATTCTTTATTCGTTCTAATTTATGCTTCTTAACTTTCTCCTGACTAATCTTTCTGCTATTAAAAGATCGCAAATTATAACAATGCTTGATATTAGTGTGCGATACTACAGCTTTTTGTGTTATGGAAGGAGGAAAAGTCACTTTTTGGCATGTATATGTCTTCTCGTTACGAGGCTGCAGTTCATAACGATGCTTGATGTTTTTTGTGCACTTATTGCCAATGATAGACCTTGCTGTCACCGCACCATCATCTAAATCTTTAGAGCTGGTATCACTCTGCTCATTGTCACTACTGAAGAGACTCCGTGTCTCTTGAAATTCGCAATTCTTGCCATTATAAACGTTTGATATTTGAGAAATATTTTTGTTAGTTATCATAAAACTTTTAGGACTATCATCGAACGTCAACATCGCGTCAATCGGAGAAGAAACCTTCTCTTTCTCATACGTAATAGTCTTCTTCTTGCAAGGTTGTAATTCATAATTATGTTCGATATCTGGCACACGCTTATTGCCGATGATAGAACCCGTTTCTACTGCAATATTTAATATATCGTTACGCGACGTACTGTACGCGCTATCCTGCGTACACCCTACGGAGATATTGCTAACTTGACAGGGACTATTGCCATCAAGTAAAAATTCGAAGTACTCGTTCCGAGCATTTGATATTTGAGAGACATTTTTTGGAGTTATAACAATATTTGTCGAACATCTGCCGCCAAATTCTAGTTTATTCGCTATATAATCTACCTTATTAGCTACATCATTTTGACTTCTTAATGAGATAAAGCTCTCATCAAACTCTCCATTATGATTGTATTTAAACATCGGATCGATATTAGATTGGTTTCTTGCTGGTAAATTATATTCACTTGATACGTCTGCAGCGTGACTTTTTTGAAAGATATGTTTGTTCTCGATTATTTTTTTGTTTTTCTGTTGGATATCATTTTTTGATGTGGTCTGCATCGAGCATTCTGTATGTTTTTCAAGTTCAAAGTTCGGTTGATGTTCATGTAGGTCATAATATGTATCGTCACTTAGGGTCGATTCCGTATCCGTTTCTGGAATTATATAGGATTTTACGTCTTTTTTCTTTTTTTTCGCGATATAACGGCTATTAGAATTTCCAAGTATCAAAGACTCAACGGATTCATTCAAATCATTCGTCAACATGGAGTTTAACGGTTTACTTCGTGGATCTTCAGATTTGCCGTATAAATCACGGATCGTTCTTTGAGGTTTAATGCAAGGTATATCGCAAATATTCAGAGGGGTTGACGTTACGATGGTATTCCTGCTTGATAGATTCTTATCCACAGAAGATCTTAATTGTTCAATATCATCGGTACACTCATCTTCGCAATGATTATATTCATCATATGTGTTCCACTGTTCGTTAAATATCTGTTGCAACTGTTTAACTGGTATTTTAGAGACGCAGGCGATGGAGGATTTTAACCAAACGATAGCCTGAATAAAATTCAACTCGTTTTTACATTGTTCTATAAAGGTGGGTACTCCATCGCTGAACGGCTGAGATGACAAATTACGTGGTATTTCTAGAAAATGTTTACAACGATAACATATGTAGTTATCGCGTGTAATGTCTTCGCGAACGTTTGTATGGGGGAATATAGGGTCTCTTCTTGAGAACGATTGTCTTGCATTTCCTGTATAAAACAATGCTTTTTGTACAAAACGATCTAAAATATAGGTAATTATAACATTTCAAATAAATGAAATGTTATAATTAACCTTTCGGAGCTGATGTATAGATCACCTTTTATCACGACCATTTGGGAATTGTTTTATTTCTATATTTTCTTATGTGTATTTTTCTTTATGGAAACTATAGAATTTTTTAATACCGTATTTTCTCATGTTGGTATAAATAAGAAAATGCAGTACTAAAAAGTTGATAAAAAATTCTGAAAAAATTCTCAAAACTTTATGAGAAAAAAATTAATTATTTTTGTCTCTTGCAGCTTTTCTATAAAATTCATAGTATTTGAGTAAAAAATTATTCAAGACCAATATTTGGCAATTTTTAGTAATTAATATCTTGTTAACT